TTTTTTGGGTTGATGGGGGATTAAAAACAATGTGAACAAAATTATGGTATGTCATATGTATGGGTAGATTCTATAGTAACCATTTCGTCTGAGTTTGTGACTGTTAGATCAACTACTCTTGATAGTTACATGATGATCTAACGGTTACAAATCTCGACAGTAACGGGACTGTAGCAATTTCCCGTTATGTGTGTATCTTTATTTTTATTTTGAAAAACAATATAAACAAAACTACGGTATATCATATTATATCTATGTGATTTGATTATAAATGAAGTCATCTGTCTAACAATTACATTATCTTACACAAGAAGAATTTGTGATTGCGAAAATACCATCCCATAAACAAATTATGCTTTCTTATTCGACAATGGAAAAAGATATGGAGTACATGTAGGGATGGCAATGGGCCCCGAACCCCGAAACTCGATGGGTAAAAACTCCATTAGGAGCCGTGTATGGCTATAATTTGGCCCCATGGATCTGTTAATGGGGGAAAAAGTCCCCCCATCGGGTCTAGCGGGGATGGGTCCGTTCCCCCTCCACCCATACCCGTTAACCCATGGGTATAATGTACCCGATATAATTTGGCCCAATATATGTTTTGGCCCAGCCGAAAAGACTCAGCAGGCAACAACACTACTAATCCCTAGATATATAACTAATAAGAGGCAATCTCAAGAAAACTTAATTAAATATACAATATAATAACTACTTGTGTATTATTTTGTTTATCCCTAGTTATTAAATATACAAGAAAACTTAATTCATACTTGTGTATGAATTATTTTCAATATTTAAAACACATTCCTTATTTTGTTTATCCTAGTTATTGCACTACTTGTGTATGAATTATATTTTCACTACTTAAGTTATTATGTACACTACTAATCCCTAGATATATTTTTTCAATATAATTTGGCCCAATATATGTTTTTTGCTTCTTATGAATTAATTTAGATCGTTCGAGTTAGTTATTATATTCATCGGGTCTGTGTCACCCGATGGGTACCCGTCACCCACACGGGTGCCGGGTCTGGGGAAAATTTGGACCCGCGACGGGTGATGGGGGCGGGTGACGGGGGTATTTTCCCTAATGGGGACGGGTGACGGGGGGGTCCCCAGCGGGTTTGTCACCCATTGTCATCCCTAAGTACATGAAAAGGGATTAAAAAGGGAAAAAAACGCGAGATTATACATCATCAGCATCCTCTGATTGAATGCCATGGAAGCCAAAAAAAAAAAGTCCAAATGGAGTATAGAAGGAGCACAACACAATGTAGATTTTACATATCCGGGCCACAATCACGGGCTCTTGATGTCTTAACTCCAAAAATTACTATCTTGATCTTGCCCAAGATAGAACCCACCTTAACAAAACTCAATAATTGATCGGCTCGTGATGTCACGAATCATGAAGCAAGCGGATACTTTTTTTCTTATTTTTTGCAGTATGATTTCGAAACATATAACCGAGACAGCAAAATCATAAATCTTCCGAAATCAGCTTATCAACAAGTTCGAACACATGCAACAACCTTCTTTCTCTACAAATCAAATCAATCAACACACTCCAAGTACCGGGATTCGGTCTGAACCCCAAATCCACCAAACCAAACAACACCATAACAGCATCATTTGCCTTTCCCACCTCACAAAGGCTTACCAATAACTCGTTCGACGTCCCAAAGTGGGGCACGAAGCCCCTACGCAACATCAGAACCAACAAGCTTACTGCCTTCTCAAATTCCCCATTTTTGCACAAAAAATTCAACACGATTCTATAACTGGTCTTGTTCAGATAGACACCTTCGCTCGGCAGACACTCGAGCATATCGAGTGCCTCACTGTATCTATATTCCCGACACAGCCCACCAAGAATCACATTAAATGTTACCATGTCTGGCTTACATTCCTTGACTCTCATTTCTCCAAGTAGCTCGAGGGCTTCACTTGTCCTCTCGGCCCTGCACAAGGAATTAATCAAAGTCGTGTACGAAACCGTATCGGGCCTCAAGCCCACAGCCCACATTTCATCGATAACTCCCCTGGCCTCATCCATTTTCCCATCCCTGCATAGCCCGTTCATCAATGACGAGTAATTGAACTTGTTTGGGCTGCACCCATTTTTCTTCATGAAGTCCATTATCTTCCAGGCCCTTTCGGTTTTCCCCCCACGGCAGAACCCGTTGATCAGGGCATTATAAGTCAATGCATCAGGCACTATATGATGCTTGGACACCATTTCTTCGAACAAGTCAATGGCTGCTTCAAGTCTACCGTTTGCACAGAGCCCATCTATTAAAGTTGAGTAGGTGATTAAATTCGGGAATGATTTTTCAGACTTCTTCATCTCGTTCACCACTCCAAAGGCCGACTCGAGATCCCCTTTCCTGCAGTGGTGCTTGATGAGAATGTTGAATATGCATGTATTGGGCTCCACGTGAAAGTCCCTCCGGGCCTTCAGGAGGAAAGCCCGAGCAAGATCCATTTGTTCCGTGTCAACCAGCAGATTAAGGCACGTGCTGACGGCTTTCATGGAAGGCTTTGTGCGTGCAATTGTAACAATCAAGCAAAACATGTCGAGGACCCTCTCATGAAGGGACGATTTCGAGAATTCGTTCATGAGGTTAAGGAATACACCTTCGTGGAATTTGCAGGTCTCGTAAGTCATACGGTGAAGAACGGCATCAAGGGAACTGTACTTCTTACACTGGGCAAGCTTGTTGAGGATCACAGCATAAGTCGAGTTGTTGTGCTGAAAGCCCCTCTGGGTGGATGCCTTGTTGAAAATTTCCAGCGCGTTTTCCGGGTTTTTTTCACGTTTGATAAGGTTGACTATCGATTCGTGAGATACATACTTGCTTTTCTTAGTAGCTTGAGTTTCGTCTGATGTGAGTGAGTTCACCGCGAACTGGACTGAAGATGGATTTGGTTCCAAGGACGATAATAGGTGGCGACTTTTACCCGAAACAACTCTCATTATATCCACATAAGGAGTTGTATCTCCTTAAAAGAACTATTATTTACCCTAAGAAGCTGACACCATCTCCTGTAAAGTGAGCT